TTAGCATAAATCAGTTAAATGACAAAAAATTAGGTGTCTATTTACTTGTGACCACTCAGTGTACGCTTTGAACCAAATATTTCAAACTTGAATTCATCCATCCATAACACCCTTTTCCAATAATCAACAGTCCAGTTTTTGTACTTTTTAGCAAATTTCAGTCTCTTGACAGTATTAGGAGATTGAGTTATTTTGGCTGTCAACAGCCTTGTAGTCTTCTACTCCCAGATACCATTACACCTTGGTAACCCTCAGTTACCTGTTTCCTTTTTGCCAAGATTGAGCTTCAGAGGTAATGTCCAATCTGCCATTCTGGGTACACCAGTTATTAGTTGCTCTTTGCAAGTCTGCAGTTGTAGAGAGATCAAACTCATAAACTTCCACATTGTTGGTAAAAGTCTGATATCTAAGAGAGGACCTTTCTAATACAACTGTCTTTCTTCAGCTGCTAACTCTTTCTTTCTGTCCTAACTACTTTTACTTGCAGAAGATGCTACTCCTTAAATCAAAATCATTACTTTAAACTCAGTAAAACAAGAGTTCAAGTTATGGCAATACACACATTATTAGAAAACAGAAAACTCCAAAATAATATCCTGTGATCATGATAACAAAATTTCTCCTTTCTATCTACTCTAGCATTTTCAGATGAAACTGATTTTCTCAAAGAGTATTAGGTAAGTCTGCTATATGACAGGAGGATTGGCAGGATAAATCCATAAAGTGATACTAAATTTAGCCAAAAATAACTAAGTCTGAATAAAGAAATAAATGAGACTGGACACTATGCATAAAACACAATGAAAATTATATTTATTGATCAAAGACACAAAATACTGTGTGTTACTTGGTTATGGATGCTGGACGGTCACCTTTCACTGGATTTGCAGGTTGATTATACTGGCTTTCTTCCTCTGAGGTGTATTCCTACTAACTAATACACAAAAATCTGTTACATCAATTTTTAAATCTAAAGTTTCTAATTTTGGGTTTATTTCATAGTAACTACTGCTACCCACCCACATGACTTTTCATTCTCATTCAAAAACAGGGAAGGCTGTAACCTTGAGATATCACTTGACCTACTATTAAAGGACACTGCTGTCAATCTTCATTCACAATATGCAGTAATAGAGCCATACCTCCTTAAGCAGAACAGGTGTGACCTCAATAGAATCACAAGGAACAAAGGTAGCTAGAATGTCATCAACTTTAATGACCACAACTTCTGACACCTCAAGTTATCTAAATGTACCAATTTGATTGAAAAGTGAAATTCAAAATGTCATTTATGTTTTTCAGTAATTTTAGAAACAGTTGCAAAAGTTTGCTAAATACTTCTAAAACTTCAATTTTTACCATCTTATCATTAAATATACAAACAGTTGTAAAAAAGGTGTTAAATATTTCTAAAATTCCCATTTATACAGTCCTATATTAAATTTTGTGTGTAATAAAACAAAAATTAAGTAGATCAAAATTACTTCAATGTTTGCATAACATATTTTGGATTGATATTATGCCACCTAAAACTATTTTCATGTAATATGAATTATTTATTTATACTAATTACCATGAGCCATGACCAAATGTTTCTAAAGGATTCCATATTCCAACACCAACTTTTAATAGAGACTAATTTCATTCACACAACTCTTACAGTTGCAAGCCCAACTGCTGTTGACCAAACTGTAAATTAATTATGTATGCTCCTGAAATACACTTCTAAGTACAGATATAAGCATTCTCCCAGACAAGTACATTTCCACAACTCTTACAGTTGCAAGCCCAACTGCTGTTGACCAAACTGTAAATTAGTTATGTATGCTCCTGAAATACACTTCTAAGTACAGATATAAGCATTCTCCCAGACAAGTACACTTCCACAACTCTTACAGTTGCAAGCCCAACTGCTGTTGACCAAACTGTAAATTAGTTATGTATGCTCCTGAAATACACTTCTAAGTACAGATATAAACATTCTCCCAGACAAGTACATCAGTTGAGGCTCTAGGGTGGTAAGAATCATTTGAAAGTTTGTTACTGAAAGTTTTGTTAAATACAGAAGTTCTTCAATTAATACATTTGATGCCACTTGCTAAAACAATCATGTAAATAAAAATTGCAGAAATATTTTAACAGTAGCTTAGACATGCACATATAGATGTATAAAATTAAATCAAAATTACTGTTAGTTTAAATTAAAATATGATGTATCTCAATTTCTCTCCAACTCATGAAATCTTCTTAAAAAATTATAGTGGAAGACAAGAGAAGAATCTTCAATACTGATGGCAAGGAGAAATTAGTACTTCTCAACACGTACACTTGCAAGTTCAGTGAACAAGTAATATTTGCAATAAAAAAATAAAATTCATATCAAAGAAAAGCTTAGCTGACTCATAGAACCATAGTGAATAATTGATACACTTAAAAACACAAGTTTAAAATTTACAGGTAAAACTTGACCCCAATGAGATGGTTAAAGAAAATCTTTTTATTTCAATGCAATTTTGCACCAGATTGTACATGCAGTTTAAAACAAGTTTCTTATCTTCTATTCTTAACTAATTTTAACTTTGGTAATGTTATTTTTTAATGTAACTAAGACATTTAAATGTATCCAAAGCATATTTTGAAAAAAAAGAAAAGAAAAAAAGCTGATTCTGTTGAAAATTATTTAACATTATTGACTGTGCTGAAGTACAGAAATCAACTCACAGGAAATTTCTTTATATGCAAATAACACTGAATGAAACATATGATTTGACAGAATGTAACATCTTATGTATAAGTTTACCTTTATTTTCCAGAATTGTTCTTGCTTGCAAGTTATTACAATTGATAAAAATTAAACAACTTTAAAATTATATAGTTTTATTTTTATTTTAGGTTCAGGAAGCTTGCTGGTACTCAAATCTTATATCATTATCATATTTATAGTCTAAAATATCAATTTCTACTTTATGTATTAAGAGCACTGGTGTTTGAAAATCATTTCCAATTTTTTTTTTCTTTATCAAAAAATTAGATTGATTTAAAAAATTCAGTCAATATAAACAACAGAACCAATGTAATGAGGTTAAAATACCTAGAAAATTTCTGTAACCTGTCTGACATGAAATGGCTTGGAAGAACATTTACACCACAAAAATGTGCAAAAACTTAATGCTGAAGTAAAATCGCAGGACCCATATAGCTAGATACTGAGGCTTATATGTAATGATCTGTTTAGTCTTGTTCCATTGGTTCTTCATTTGAAACAGTACTACATGCTACTGATGGGGTCTTATCCTTAGATTCTTCAGAACAAACTTCTGTTTCCTTCTTGGATTCACTTACCTTCGTTTCTTCACCTTCCATGTCCATTGATTCTTGTTCTTGTTTATTTGATATCTACAAAATATTAGCAATTACAAAATTATAATACTTATAACTACCAAATGGACAGGACTCAGTTTGGTTTATCACTAAAAAACTTTAAGTTCTTGAGCTCAAAGTTTTTAAAGTCTCACACAAGATGTTCTCATCAGCAAACTACAATTAGCATGATAAAACTTCACTAGAAACTATTCCTGAACTTCCAAGTGTCCAAACATTTGAGTTTTGGTGTAGTTAAAATGGCTTGCCTATTTAATTACCTAGTACTTATTTTAACATGCGATGTCTTCTCCTGAAGATAGTACAGTTTCCTGTCTTTAATAACATTTTATGACGTATTAATATCCTGGTTTGGTAAAGTTCAGGTAACTCATCATTTTATTTTTAGGTGGCTGATAATAGTGTCTTCCTTTAGTGAATTATTGTTTCACATCTATCTTTACTAAGAATTTATTATTTTTAATGAGTTAGTTTCCCTTCCCCCTTTTAAGAAATTAAAAAGTATAATTTCATTCTTTCTTGGCCAATATTACCTTTTTCTGAGTGTATGAATATTACTCCCATGGCAAATGTAAGAATTCTTACTTTTTTCTTTCTCATCTTGGTTGCTGGTGCATTTATTGACTCTATAATGATCTTGTAAAGTTAAGAAGACTTACCTTTTCTTTTTCTTGGTGAGGGTTTTCCTCTTCAGATTGTAATAATGTTCCAGTATCATCACCAACTTTTTGAACCTCTTCATTACAGAGGTCTGTTATATTATTTTGTTCAGACATCTCAGATTCTACCACGTCATCATCATCATCACGTTCATCTTTGACAGGCAAATGTTCCGTCACTTCCTGTTCCATCTGATTGGGCTGTGTGCCTATTTAAAGTCAAAAACACAAAAAATAAGAAAACATAATTAAAAAGTAACTGGATAACTTAAAAACTGTTACATAATATCATTTTACAAACTACTACTGAGTACTGAGATACCAGTTTTTAAGTGTAGATATATAAGAGTAAATAAAATGTAAAAACAGTTCTTTTACTTTTAGAATTCAAATTTTTAGCCTTGACATAGCAGCTCACAGAATGGTTCCGAGTTTTATTTCAAGTACAAACTTTTAGCTCATA